GACTTCGTCGACGGCCTTCGAGCGAGACTTGAAGAGACGGCGGATGACTCTCCGTGGGAACACATCAGGGACCTGGTCGCTGAGGATGTTCCCCAGCTTCGCCCCCGGATCGACGACTAACTCCCAGAACGACGTTGACGTCTACAGGTAGCTGAGCTACCAGGGCTTGGACCCACAGCAGACCGGAAGTATATGCTCCCAGCGAGCAGGCACTTCCCCAAGACGTGGCGCTAGTCGCCACAATCATATACACTTGGACTTGGAAAACCATTTCGGTCCGTACAAGTGCTATTTTCCACCACACTATACCCTATTACCACTATTCACCACAATAATAATGCACACTGATAGTCAACACAACTAAAACTTACGTGAAGAAATAATTTGAGGAATCGGAAAAAATAATATTAAATAGTTGCTAGGCAGCTTTGACAATAAAATAATTCTATTGCAATGCTATGGATACCGATTGTGTATTTGTTATGCATTTAAGTGTCAAGAATGTAAGCGGACAGCTGATTTTGCGGCCCTAGGAATGTAAAAACCTACTCGGTCCCCAAATGACGGTGACAGCTGGCATGGCCAGCAAAACGTAACTTTCAGCTACCAATTAACGTCTGTAAAACAGCTAAAAACATCATAGTGTGGTGATAAAATAACATATTGTTATCTATAACATCTATTGTTTTCGCATTAAATATCATACTATAAACCCGAAAGAAAATAGTATTACATTCTATGAAAGATAGGTCTACTGCGTTCCATTCCAAAAGCAACTGCTAGCCCACATGAATTACTCCAGTGTCCAATGTTGATAGTGTAACATTTTTTTTATTTTTTTTTTAGAAAATAGTTAAGTTGAAACAGAAATAAGTAACTGTAATCTCGATACGTATGTCCTTACGGAATTTACTAAATCCATGTAATTTTCTGATCTTGATTTTCTATATCACAATAACATGCAATATAAGGTACCAAGAATTGAAACAAATAAAATTTTGTGAATAACATAGAAAAAGTAAAGAGTCACTGATACAACTAAATCTTTTGATAGCATGGATTGTTCAGGGAAGATAAATAATAAATTATGAGTTTCTTTATGTTGGTGTATGTAGTATAACAAGTTTTACAAACTTTTACAAATATCTAAATACATATTTACATGTGTAAAAAGTGTGTACACTGTCCTGTATACATTTTTTCATATTATCTCCCTTACCTAAGACCACTAGAGTTCACCTTTAGGCTCCGATTGTGATTAGTAGTCGTGGGTTCTAAATCTGAGAAAGAACTTGTTTGAGAATCAGAACATTTCTTCTATTTATGATAGTTGAACATATTCATTAAAAGTGGACGCTGAACCACCGGGCCTTAATATTAGTATATACATTAGAACCTTGATAACAAGATTCTCATGGGGATTTATAAATAAGACTTGTTATCAAGGTTGACTTCTTATCGAGGTTTGCAATAACGTTTGATTAGGGGTAAAATAAATTCTAGGGGATTTAAAAATTACACTTGTTATCGAGGTTTCACTGCTTAAAACCATCAGTCATTAGCGAGATTTGAACCAAAGACTTTATAACTAAGTTACATCGCTATAACTAGCCAAGAACTAGCCATACCTCTAAAAATGAATATTAAATTAATATTCAAATTAAATTCAATTCAAATTAAGCAAATTAAATTAATATTCGTGAAAATAAATATCTCTGTAATGTTTAAGTATATGTAAGAGAGGTAAATACGCCATTAAAATATCAATAATACAGTGCAAAAGGAACCAGAGAAGATTGGTATTTGAATAACAAAGAAACGTCAAAAATGTGAAATGGTTTAATCAAAAGCTTTATAGAGGATTCATGTTTGCGACGGAAAAGTAAAAAGAAAAAAAAATAACGACTGGAAACTGCTCAACTAAAAACCTTCAAAGTAATAAATTCCCCAATTCAAGCCTGCGGTAGCAAAACCATTACATTTCCATCCATTTTGGTCGAATAAAAAGGACCTCCCAATACTTAAAGGTTTGACCGCGAAATTATACTGTGTAATTTATACCACGTTTTGCGAGGGGAGCTTTTTCCCATATTTTCTGTTATGAATGGCTTTAGAATCGCCGGGTGTTTTACTAAACCAAGGCCGCTCGTAAATATTATTTAAAGGGTCCAGCTTAAGCACGATCATCTACTGTAATAATTTACAAAATATGGGTTTGTTGGAACAATATTGCAAGTTAAGTGGTTTTTGCGCTCAAAATTAGATTTACAAGTACAACAAATGTTTGGCAATATTACTAAAGTATATTATGAACATGTATTTTTACATACGATGTTTTAGGAAGGTTATTATTTTATATATTTTAAGTAGATAACTGAGTTTTGGAACAGTTTTGAGGAATAATTTACAATAAATTAATGACCGGTGTGACGGGTAGTCACCAAAAATTATTTTCTAAATTTTGGGATTATATTTCAAAAGTAAAAGACCTGGTAAATGGATTTCACAATGCATATACCAGTGTCAGAACATTGGCATTTAGTAGACAGAATTCTTGATGACACGTAGCTTGCTCAATCGACCGACCCACAAAAACCGTAGACTTAGCAATTGTACTTTGGAGAGACTGAGGTCGGAGTTGACCGAAAGGAAGACACTTGGCCCCAGTCACCTATCGGGGACACTTCGCCGGTCTCCGGGTTTTTGGTAAGGCGATTACTTTATTAATATTTAACTTTATAATTTTTGTGATTGTCCAGGCTAGCTTAACCTTTTAAAGTCAGTGATTGATTGATACTAATCGTAATCAATTTTATAATAATTGAGTTCATTTATAATTTGTGTGAATAAATATAGTGACTATTAAATTCCTGTTTGAATATATTAACGTGTCAAAAAGAATTATAATTATTAGAGTTTGATATATAAATTTCATTTGCTTAGGCCTACTTAAATAAAAGGAGTCTGTAATTATTTTATCATCCATTTTTATTATTGTCTTTATTATTATCTTTATCATATTGTCCATCCACTTTATTTGAATAATGATTAAACATTCTTTTCCTACAGTCACCCGACAAAGTTGGCTTCCTTGTACTGTTTATAGTACAGAAAGCTGCTAATTGCTGCATATTTATAATTTGCCGTACGGTTTATACTTTGCCGTACGGTTTATACTTTGCCGCACATCAGGATTCCAACGAAACAACACAAAACAGCGTGGTTCTATTATGCACGTAATCCGTGTACGCTTGGAAATAGGTTTGCAACACTTAAAGATAATAATACTATGAGCAGCTGATTGACTATTATAACTACGATTTAACCTGTCATTTCGTGTTTATAGTTTCGGTATTTCTGAACTTCTGGACTTTTCTTTTAAACGTTTTTAAAACATTCCTACGATCTTAATAAACAAGAAAATACCATTAAAGCATTTTTTTTAGGCGCGGAAACCACTTCAAATTACAAAATCATACGGAACTATATTCTCAAAACGCGGAGCACATTTCTTGCCGAGGAAAAATAGCGGAGTGATACGGACCGCGGGTACTACTTTCTCTAGGGCACCATTTGTGTTGCTAGCTGAACCTAAAAACGTGTTGTATAGTGTTTGAAAGACTAATTATTTATATGCTTTATAGTAACTGAAGGAAAAATATAATGTGTAACACGAGTGAAAAAGGCCTTTGCTGCACTCGAGATCATTCCGCACTCGCCTGCGGCTCGTGCGTAAACATTGCTCTCGTGTGCAGCAAAGTGCCACTTTCACCACTAGTTACACAAATAACTATTTACCTCTCACTAAAGAATTCTTATTATTTAAATCGATCCCGGTTACGCCCCCGGTCACAATTTCAATCGTGGCACCGGTTAAATTAATGACCTGATTCGATTCAAAACACTCAACATTTTACAACTAGCTACGTATTCAGTCTACTGTATCCAATTTCTCACACGACTTAAACATTTTTCCATGACTTAAATGTTACTATCTATCTATCTGCTATTAGCAGTTTGGTAATAGTTGTTGATAGCAAAGAACTTGTTTTTTTCTTAACAATTTATAATAGTAAATATTATACAGGATGATTAAAAAGTCAAGACTCCCCCTCTATTTTTTTGTGTGTAAATATACAGAGATATCCTTTTGGTGGTCGTGCAATCTCAGCAGGAAATTTCATTTAATATTTTGAAATTTTTAATGTCCCCAAAAAGGGGAGATTTTTGGGGCAACTCAAAAATTTTAAATGTAAACCCCCATCAAGTGACATCTTATTTTGAAGTGTTTACAAAAACATAAATCATGTCACCTCTATCCAAAATGGTAGCCCGTCAAATGTAATGGAAAATCAATGGTAATATTGGTTCGTACTGGTAATATTGGCAACCATTTTGGAGAGAGAAGTGATAGCGAACTCTGGTTCCCCCAAAACCCCCTTTTTGCCCCCAGACACTCAAAAATTGTAAAATCATCAAATATAATTTCCTGTTAAGATTGCAAGACCACCAAAAGGATATCTCTGTATATTTACTTATAAAAATATTAGTGGGGGGGGTCTTGACTTTTTATTCATTATGTATCTCCAATACCATTAAAAGACGGGAACGCAGCTGATATGCATATCAAAATACCCTATCTTTTAATACACAAAATCCAAAAAAAGTTTCTAAATATTATGGAATCACTAAATTAAGGAAATGAAAAAAAACTTACGTAGTTAGGAAATGTGAGTAAAAACTTTACTGTATTTTTTTTTGCTTACTTCCTAATACAGCTTCGATTTAAAATAAGGTAAAAATACATATTATTTTTAACAATATATAATCAATGATAATATAGTTTAGGTCAACACATTTCTTGAATTTTCTCTCCTCTATTTATGTATACAGGTCTTTGTACATCACAAATTTCACTGTGTACCTTTCAAATTTACCTAATTCATACATTACCATTCCTTAATGGTAATGGTTTCCTTATTGATACATACCAAATACGACTGCTCTTTGGGAGCTTCTTCTCAGGGGATTTTATAACAGGATATCCACAGCTGCCTTAAGTCCTGAAATAGCCAAAGAAATAAGTCATTTGCATAGATGGGGACGTACAGTTCGACTGGAACAAACTAGATTGGAAACTATTCGTAGGATAAGACTTGATTGCGGCAAATAGTAATACTATAAATATTTAATTGAAATTCTTTACTTGTGTAAATTTATTACAATAATGATAAAAAAATGTACACTATATTTCTTGGACTAGTCAGAGTTCCTTTTATCCAAAACATTGGGGTTCTTTTGTGGTATATAAAGTTTGATTGACACTGCTGTTGAAATATAAATAAAAATTAAAGTATCTTGTCAACAGGTTGGAGGATGTTTAAGGTGTATAGAAATATTTTGATCAAATGAGTTGAAAAGCATAATCGGGACCAATTATTAAAATTTGAAGACAATATGCAACAAAATAGACATAAAATAGGAAATGTAATACAGTAGCCTAAAGAAATTTAAACAGTTTGATTTAGTCTTCTAAGGAAAAGTTATTTATTTATTTTTTTGTTGGTAGGTTGTACGTAGGTTGTATGTAGTTGTATGTAGGTCAGGTTAGGTTACATCGTAAGGTTAGGTACATCGAAAGGTTATGTTACAATCGTAAGGTTAGGTACATCGTAAGGTTAGGTACATCGTAAGGTTAGGTACATCGAAAGGTAAGGTTACATCGTAAGGTTAGGTACATCGAAAGGTTAGGTTACATCGTAAGGTTAGGTATATCGTAAGGTTAGGTACATCGTAAGGTTAGGTACATCGAAAGGTAAGGTTACATCGTAAGGTTAGGTACATCGAAAGGTTAGGCTACATCGTAAGGTTAGGTATATCGTAAGGTTAGGTACATCGTAAGGTTAGGTACATCGAAAGGTAAGGTTACATCGTAAGGTTAGGTACATCGAAAGGTAAGGTTACATCGTAAGGTTAGGTACATCGAAAGGTTAGGTTACATCGTAAGGTTAGGTATATCGTAAAAATGTCAATTTAAGTCGACCTTTTTCAGTTTATTTGCCATTTAGTTGAGTGAAGTTTAAAATAGTTAGTATTTAAATCAACCAACTAACTTTGCTGTAAACAACCCAAGAATATCCAAAATTCAATAATCTTTAAAAGTGAAATCTTCCAAAAGAATCGAAAATATATAAACTGCTATAACAATAAAGCTTACAGTTCTCTTTCTCTCTTCCACACACAATAGTGAAATCATCATTTTGATAAAAACAACTCACACACACACAGACCCACAGAATAATTTGTCCTACACGTCCCACAATAAGTTTATACTTCCTCCAATAAGTTTATAATTCCTAGCGATAGGGGATTACACCACTAATCCAGATATAGAAAGTTGTTTCGGGTTCTCAACTCGAAATGAGTCTGCTACGATGGAGTTTATTCCAGCAATATAAACCCCGAGCCAATATTTGGAGTTTTCTTCTCCCTCGGGCTCGGGATTGTTGTATCTACACTGCTGTAATTTATTATTGTTTGAGAAATTGGAGATGGTGAGATTGCCTCCAAGTTAGGCGCCCTCTTCTCCCCCCAAACCGCGATTCTTGTGTTTGTATCTGCACAGAACACAATGAGAACCAAAAACGCCTCTTTGGGGCACGTACCGGCGCTCCGTGCCGCTTTTGTCGCACGTTAACGAAATCAATCGCGTCGGAACGTGTTCGATTGGAGCATTCGTAGCTTTGTACACCTGCTACTGCCTTGGGTAATGCAATTAGGGCTTTGGTGCTAAAAACTAATGGTATTCACGTATCTACGTATCTTATATTATACGTATATTATATATATATATTATACGTATAATATAATACTTATATTATACATTATACGTATCTTATACGTATACAATGGTACCATCGTAACTTTTCTTATCTTACAATTTATTATAAATCTTTCTATTCTTTTAATTATCAAAATACATTAATAGTTCTAATGCATTTTTCTTGTAACCGTACAAAACAAAATATGAAAAGATTGATCACTAAGCTTTCCTTCTTTTTACCTAGTTGATCCATAATGGCAAGCTATTTTACTACAGATACCTAGTTTCGCATTATGAGTAGGGTACACCGTGTAAAAAAATCCCAGTCAAAAATGACCAACACTTGAGGGAAAGAGAATATGTAATAAAGGTACTGATAGGACGAGTATACTATATAAATTGTTTATCTTGCCATATTCTAAATAATGATTGGCCAATGTTTTTCAAAATAATAAATCAGAAATGTTCAATATATTTATAGGACATCTTTTAGCTTAATTGTGTACGATTTTTTTTTAACTTTGCGAAGAAAGACAATATCAGGAGACTGACAAACATATTCAAATATTTTAATAATTACTTATGATACATATTAACATAAGTATGGTTACATTTTGATATATTTTTTCATAAAAAAGTGTGTATCACGATAGAAATAGCTTTATGTGGTTTTGTCAAATAGATCATAATATTATCTCAAGAGAGAACTTTTACGTGTTATTGCAAATTATTAGCCTCTATCTTGTTAGTCTCAAAACGTACAATTTCTAGAAATATTTTGAAAAAAAATATAAAAAGGTTTATTAAAAATCTTTAATTTACGTGAAATCCGTTAACTAACTTTTTGAGTTAACTTGGTTTAGTATAAACGAAAAACCTAATTAGTGAACGAAGCGTAATTAAATCACAGAATATTTAAATTAAAATATTTAATAACTTGATATTTTACTAAACATTTGACACCAGAAAATTCATCGGTAATTTATAAAGTAAATCTAAATTAAAAACCCGGTGATCAGCTCAACAGATGCGTGAGATAATAAAATTGTAAACGTAAATAGCCAATTTGCAATCAAGCGCCGCAGAAAACAGATAAAACTATTTGTGTGGAGGGTCCTAAACATCAATTAATTAATTATTGAACCCGGTGGTGAAGCAAATAATTAAATTTTAACTAGTCCATTTGTTTCGTGATTTATTACCAATCTAACTAATGTTAAATATTTCACCATCGGGAATCGTATTATAAAAATAGAATGAGCTGTAATTTATCATGCGTTGAAAAATAAATAGTTTTGTTAAATATTTAATGTTCTGTGCTAATTAAATCCTACTATTTATTAATATTTAAATGCGAGTTTTAAACGTATTTATGAGAAATAATAAGCATTCCAAATATAAACATGGCAAATGATTTTTCTATTCATTTTGTTATAATAATAATTAATTTGCTAACTTCTGTTATTTTAGTAATAGAAAATCACATTACTATTCATTTAGTTTAGCAGCACATACATTGAAATAAAAATAAAAATTATCGGTGATGGAAATAATTGTAAGACGCCTTTAGAATTTATGTGAGAGGGCAAATAAGTTCACCTATCATATTTTATGTGGTACATATTTTGCATTTACTTAAACTATAGTTGAGAACCAGCATCCTCCTACAACAAAAGCTAACTCAAACTCATAAATCAATTTCAACCTTATTATTTCTTGAGAAATGTACGAGTACTTGATGCAAGTGTAACGCGTACTAGCACAGCCAACTTGAGAGCTGCTACTTGCACCACATTCATTACAGTCAGCACAGCGGATGAAAGATGTCGTGTTGAAAGGAGATGTAACTCGGCAGGAAATGTATTGGCACTAATTTATTCCCATCGCGCTGAATAGAAGTCGTTCGCTACACTAGGCCCCGCTACAGTCGTTAAAGAACTTGGTCGATAATTGTTTCGCACAAAGACAGCTCTTGAAATAATTCCTTCCATAAATTACTCCGCGTTGAAGTTTCCACCATTTGTCAAAAGATGGAGCTAGGTGGGTACGTCATCTGAAGAAAATTACTTCCCACCCTCTAGCTTTTAATAAATGACTTTGAAAGGCAATTAGACTTTCTTAGCCCCGCCCTCTCCGTCTTTTATCATCCCCCTCGTTCTTTGAGGCAAAAACACATTCGTCTGTTCAGACCCTTCGTTAATGAGGGGCGCGACGTTGTCGAAACTTTCTCCCGGGTCAAAGGTTGGGAAAATGTTCTTGGAAATTACTTTGATGTAACACAACTTAAAACTCGCGACTTTACACCGGTTTTGAAGTCGAGTTTTAAAACTTGTTTGGTTGTATCTTGTAACGATGTTTTCCGTGTTACATTACATTTTTTGGATATTATGCCCCATCTGTTTTCTTAGAAGGAAATGACTATATTTTATTTATACTAATTTACAAAAAGAAGTGTAGGATTTGAATATAACCTCAAAGATGTTGCTTATAGAGTTAGGCCTAAGTTGTGTTTATGTATATTCGACAGAAATGTTTTAAACATAAACCAATAAAAACAGTTAGAGGTTCTTATTTAAATAGTACAGTTAATTTATCAGGTTTTATGAAGTTATTTTGAAGTATTTTCCTTACATCAACATGTCTATGATGAACTAGGATTTGGTTATTTTAGTTTTGTAGCAAAGTAGTCATTAATTACTCTCATCTTCCCAGAATGAAAATTGGTTGAGTCAATTAAAAAAACTACGTACTATTACCGTTACCTATCTGAGTCAGGTTTTGAATTAGCTAACTGTGAGTGGTCTTCCAAAAGTTAATCGAATCCTCAATATTATCATAATAAAGGAAAGTCATAATTTTGTATGGTAAATAATGATGGCAGATAAATCAGTGGCTATGACAGTCATGAAAGAAGTAAATGTTTTATTTCACTTTTGTATTATTTGTAGTTGTGCTACCAATATTCATTTGCTATGATTTTTATTATTGCTGTATAATATGGTTCATACACATATGGTAAAAGTGAATATTTTAATATTTGTTTTGGTTTTTACAGAGATTTGAGTACTGAACAAATTTATTCACCCCTGTAAAATAGGAAAAGAAATCAACCTGTTGACCAAGGTAAATTAATATTTCCAACTTTTGTAATATAAAATAATTATGATAGTGTATAATAGTATTTCTACCGACACACTTTTTTTGGTAATGTTTCTTTCATAAAAATGTATTACGATAATATTTTGAATTGGCAAAAAATGAACCCAAAACCCAATTTTTAAATCCTGTCTCCTAATAGTGTGAGACATAGTCACAGTTTTAAAGATATTACAACGATCAGGATTGAATTTGAAAAGGACTAGTTACATAAATTTATAATTAAAAGAAGTGCTATGTAGAACCCCTATTTATTCACATTGTACACCGTTTTAACAACCTTTAACTGGACAACCATTTAACCTTAAATAGTTTTAACTTGGTGCTATGAATCAAAATAAACTGCTATCCAACTAGATACATTATACTCCTTTCTTAAACAGTTTTCCGTCTCCCAATAGAGTTAATCTTGATAAGTAAGACCTACGGGTAGTTGTGTGAATGTGGGGTGGGTCACTTTGAACTTACCAGCCTAATAAAAGTAGGAGGGTCATGTGTCTCAAGTCATTTAAGTGATTAAACTCCTCTATGTTCTAATGGTGATACTTACTCTATGGCGGCGAGGGTGAGAATTGTGGGGCCGCCCTCGCAGCGCGACCGGGCAAACATGGCGTCATTTGCCTCCAAAATCTCCCGTCATCTGCCGCTGACTGTCGTGGCACTGCATGTTGTACTAGTACACTTGCTAGAAATGATAATTGTAATTAATGTTCAAAGAATATACAACATACTAGAGGCAAACAATTATATTGGAACCATACATATATTTTCCTTATTTGAGAAAACATGACGTTTCGGAACCTGTGATTGTGATACTAACCCATAAGTATTTTTTATACACTCTTTTAACAATACATGCATAAACAATGTTGATGATAATCTACACGTCGGTTTGAAAATTGTTTAATAAAAATACAATGATGAGTGCTTTGCTATACACAGGAGCGGAAACATAAGTTGCATATAGCGTAATCGTCTTTTCCGCATCACTCAAACAAACTCAGCTTGGGTACTAAATTACAAACAACACAGATTTGATTTACGTTTTTCAACAATACCCCAGCACTCTTTCACCTTTGTGAAAAATAAGGTGTCGTAGCTTCATTTTAAACCTAGAATTCAACCAAATTGTCCTCAAAACTAACAACTCACGGTTTTAAAAGTGATGAAAGTATTATGAAATGAAGAAATATTTGTGTCCATTTATTTTCTAAAAGGTCCTTTTATAGTCTAATTAGTTTTACTCACATTTTATAGCTTTATTAGCGTTTCATTTATAAAAACTTGTATGGAAACAAATATCTCTACGTACACATTTAATTGGGTTACGGGTATAGAAATACTGTAAAAAAACATGTAATATATTTAATATGTCCAAAACGTTAACGTAAAAGTAAAAGTTCTTGGATCGGAAAAACTTTTTTACCCCTTAATAATATTTTACTCAAATTATTTACATTATTAATATTGGTGCAAAGTTTATCTTTATACAGTTTTAAGTTTAGCACACTTTTATACTAATAACCCTGCTCAACCTCTCTTTCTCTATGCCAATCTTAAGCTGAAACCCAACCATTCAAAGTAAAAAAGTCTACTGACTTATTATAAATGGCCTAAGACTTTTTGGTAGTAAACATCTACAGAACATCCATAATCTCATGGCAAGAGATAAAAGGCAATAATATTGGTAAATACTGTAAGTTTTAGTAATTGGAAACGCTATTTAAGTATTTTTTTTTAAATTCGTATTCATACAACTAATGCAAAAACTGTACCATATTGCCGATGTTTATTGAGGTGTACAAAACATATACACAGGATGGTTATAACTTATAGCAGTTCTCAATTATTTGTCAACTTACAAACGTTTCTAAATTTAAATGGCTAATAAGGAATTTTGATTTTTTGTTGGAAAAAGACTTGATAATTCACTAAATTTCAAAACCAAACTAAAAACAACACTTTAAGATGCACTGCTTCAAATGGACTTCTTTATTCTAGTCCAGTTTTAGCGAATTTCCCATATAGGGAATAAGCTATTACCGTTGTACTCATGGTAAGACCTGGACCCGGGACCGATTTACTTTTTCTTTTTGAGGTCCCCGGAGGCCAAAATAACCCTCATTTCAAATTCATATATATCTGATAGTGCGATAACTCGAGTAAAAATGATCTGATTTTGATGAAATTTGGTACAAACGTGTAAACCTACGTTTATTCGAACGAGTTTGCGAACCAGCATGATCGGACTATGGGAACAGGGGTTTATGGGGGGTTTTATAAGGTAAAAATTGGGTTTCCCCATTTTTGAAAAAATTGCAATTTAATAGACATTTAATTGACATATTTGAATCAAATTTGGAAATTTTGTTTATTTCATACTAATCTATCAACATTTCAATCAAAAACACACCTCAATACCTTTCCTGTAGCAACAAACCTAGGTACTTATTAAAATTAATGTCATTTAAATATTAAATAAATCTGACAATTTTCAGGGAGTATTTAAGTAGAAATCAACTCAGGTTAATGGAAATTCGCTTACTCCGCAGGTTTGCTGTGGCAGGGGTATTTATAATTCGCATATTCAAAATAATATTCGTCAGTCGCACGGATCTATACAATGACAGTCGTTGATCTACCATCGATGGAGGATTATATTTACATTAAATAGTGTTGTATGGGCAATATCCCGAACACTGCGAATATGAGTGACAGCATTGCACTATGGGCGAGGGGAGGGGGTAGTGTTGGGGACAGCAATTGTATAGCAGGTGTCTGTCCCGGACGTCCAAAAATGTCACCTCCAAGCGAATCGGACAATCGTTTAGTTACGGTATCACCAAGTTATATGAGAGTCTTGTACGTAGCCATCTTTTTGTGTTTGGACGTAAAGTCAATTTAGAGGTTTTTTGCATGTAACGTGCCTGGCGATTGCTGAGGTCGTAGTTTAATTATTTTAAAATAATCCTCGTTACCAGAATCAACAGCCATATGTTAAAAAAGTCTATTTAAATAAGGTTAAAGAAAATTCTCAACACAAAACCAAGTGTAGTTAATATACAGAGAGGTCCGATTTAAAGTTTTATGTTATATATTTTTACTTCTTGATGGTAACCGCATTTTTTATTTCTGGTCATAACGGTTGTTTTGGGGATTCAAGTTAACGTGTCCCATTTAAGACGGACACAGTAATTTAACTTATAAGTGATCTTTCCAAAACTAGCAGACACATTTTACAGGTACACATTTTACAAAGCTTCAAAAGTAATCTATGCATAGTACTTGCTTTTCTATTTGAATCATAAAGAATCCCTTTGTACAATTAATTTAGGTACACACCCTTAAATACTACCATCAAATGACCTGTGAAATAAGTAAGAAATATGACGGCCCTATTATGAACAGGTCAGTTGTCATTTTTCGTTGGATTAAAAATGTTTTAACCGTAACAATTTGATACTTTATCAAAAGATAATATTATAAAAATATGTCCCAACCTTTTAGAAACATTTACAAAACAATTCAAGGGTAAAAACGTACTAAGCTTATGGGAAAATGTGTGAAATAAATACTCTATTTGCTGAGTCTATGAATAAATAATCAGATGAATAAATAAATGGTATCAACAAACTGACACATACTTTCTCCCATAAGATTGTAAACAACCTTTATCAAGCGGCGTTATGGTATAAAATATATAGGGATGGATAACAAAAGATGCAATAACTTTTGAACCGCAATTGCCATAGCTATGGAGGGTTGCACTATTTCTGTTTAGAATTATACGGACCATAACACATCAATTTTAATCAAAACAGGTTTTTCCTAAAATCCAATATTTTGTTATTCTATAAGGTTTTTATTTGAAATAACATAAGGTAAAATTACTTTTGAATCGTACTTTTTACGGAAAAGGGATCTTTACCTTTTTGTAAAAAAAATTTAGGAATATAACATACAAATTTTAATAAAAACCGGCCTTTTTTAAATCCAATTTTCTTTTTTATTGGGTTTAATGGGAAAATAACATAAGTTACAATAACTTTGGAACCGTATTTATATTATTTTCCATGGAATTTATACCATTTTGTTCAGAATGTAAAGGACTATAACATACAAAATCTTCACCAAAATCGTCCGGGCTGTTTTCGAGAAAATCCGATTTTCCGTTACTTTATGGGTTTTTACGGAGAAATCCTTGTCAAAAATAAAAGTTTTGAAAAAAAAATTAAAAACAAACTTTGAGATATAATGTATTACCTACGTACCAAATTTCATAAATATCGAATGACAGGACGGTGTGGTCTGTAGCTGTGTACACATCTACACGCACACAGACATCACTTCGAAAACTACTTTTTTGGATTCAGGGCGACCAAAAACGAATCTATTCTCTTAAAACTCAAACTTGAAAATTGTGATGGAAACAATACTTTCTCCATATACTAAGTATGGGATGATTTCTGATTGTTTAGCAGGGCTCTAAGTTTTCACTCTGACAGATTTTATTTTCTTAATCATCTGATCACAATGGTATATTTTTGTTGTTCAATCTTAACTTTACGTAATACTCCAACAAAACGCTGTTCTGACTGAAAGTACAGTATTATATTAAAACTATTTTTTATATATTACGATTCACTGCAATACAGCTAATTTAGCTTAACAACAGTTTTTCAGGAGAGTCCTAATTTAGATTATAACCGTTGATAACATTTTGTTGCTTTTTAACACACTATTCCCCAACCGATCATTTTAATTAAAGCAAACAAAACGAACCTATGATACCAATCTTTATTGCTACTGGTGTAATTTTTTGTGTTTGAAAACAATACAAAATACATTTAACGTTTTCCGGACTCTGAGCTGCTGAGTTAATATATTCGCTCTGCAGAGAATAAATTTAAAACATCATAAGGATACCCCTACAATAATTGTGATTTTTTAATTATTGTATACTGGTAGCATGTATAAATTAAATTTCGAATATCAGTATGAAAAAAAAACTCTTGACTGCATAAACTATTTTTGGACTGCCTAATTATTACGCATTTACCCAGCTCTTCAAGGAACTAAAAAGCTTCATTCTTAAGCTGACATTTGAGCTCCAAACTTACATAAAACAGACAGTAGGAGATTGATTTCATTTGGGAAATTTATACGTAACTCACAAAAAAAAAGAACGAAGTAACTTCTTTAATAATAACATTGAGAAATTACACTACTGACTATTTCCACGAAAGATGGTTTAAAACTATTCTTAAGCTTTTTATTAAGCTAAAGACAAATTTACTTGTTCATTTATCATCGTCCGCAAGTGGTAAACCTATAGATGCATGGGTTTTAAATTCCTTTCGATATTCATATTAGTGGTAGATTAAAAATAATAATATTGGCAAGTTCTTATGTATTTTAGCCTATAGAAGCTGTATACTGGAAACACGATGCTAAAACAATGGATTTAAATCTTTCTATACCTAATAATTGGTAGAAAGCATATGTAACTGTTAAGAAAAACATTAAAATAGTGTTAGGTCAATCAATGAAAAGTTCTAGTGTACTTACATTCTAGTGTTACTTACACGAAAATCCTTTTCGGATCTTTTGGTATACCGGTAAGTGAAACTCAATGCCATAGTGTCAACCATTCTTTATCTTGAGCGATCTTCCAAAATTTAAGTT